TTCTCATCTAATATTTCCCATATGTGTATGAGCTAGTATGTTTTCTCTCCTAATCGATTGGTGACTCTGATTCCCTTCTTCCGGCATCTTGTAAGGGCATCCCATTATTTTCTTAAAATTTATTACGTTATTACTGCTTGATTCATAGTAAATGTTTTTTATTTCATTTTCGATTGCTAGAAGGAAGTCTTCTAATGTAACTCTCAATATTATTTGTATTAAAAAATTGAGAAACATTTGTTTCCCTAGAAAGATAATAATCATTTTATTGGTTATTAGATGTTAAATTTGATAGTGGTAAATTTCGAGTCTCTTTAATAATATATTTTAAAGACAAATTTTTTATCAGCTGACTCAATCCATTAGTTCTTAAGGAATATTGGCAATTTATATTTTTAAGTTTGCCAAAGTCCTATTTAATAGCAAATAATATAGGCATGAATACCCCATAAAAAGAACTACTATTTGTCTGATATTTGCTACCGGACTTATTTTATAGTATACTCTTCTAATAAGTAATAACATAACTATATCTATTAATGTTGTATCATTTTATTTAATAAATTTAAATGTGTTTTTTAGATCTAAGCAAAGAAGGCAAATTGTTGCATCTAAAAATTTGGGCCTTCCATAGCTTTGTGCAATTTTCCATAACTTACAGTGAATCCTTATAACTTTGAATTTTGCAAAAAAGACATTATTAAGTAGCAATTAACGATAAAATGTGTCATTGGTTTTTTACTTGTAAAGGTATACTTTACTTTTATTTACTAAAATAATTTTAAAATATTTTCAGTCTAAATTTTATTCAATTTGATTTGTAGGATTTATTTTTTTAATTTCCTTACACTCTTCTTCATTATATGAGTATTAATCATTCTTAAATTAAAAATTAAAATGGTGGTATTTTATTTAGCTATATTTATATAAAATGTATTCATTTATTTTGTTTTGGTGTTGTTATTTTATCTTTCCTGATGTAAGTTGTAGATTTTCAAGTTGATTTTTGTTTATACTAAATTTAGCAGTTTTTTCAAAATATGACGTAGGATAATAATGATATTCATACAAGAATCCACGAAAAAATAAGATTATTGGTGATTATTAAATTATGAGAAAATAAATATTAGTATCTTTTATAGAGAAAATGTAAAATATACAAGATTCTTTTGAAAAGCATCATAGATACATTTACTAGTAATCTTGTATCCTTCGAGATACTGCTGTAATCATGGTTGATAGGGTAAATGCTTATATTTATTTATACCCGCTATTAATTGCCACATTTTGTTTTATCTCTGCCACGTTATTTTTATGACTGCATTCGGAGCATATGAACGTTTTAATGTAGCGATTTAAAAATTCATACTCTTAGTCTCTCATACACCGTGTCCTATTTATATTTATTTCCATCGTTCATATATGATTCATTTGTGCGTGCATGCGTTTTTAAGGCAAAAATTGGATCACTGCTCAGATATTCTTTTGAATTACGCTGTAGTAGTTCAATTTATGCCATTATCATTTTTAATTTTCTGTCAAAATGTGCTTTTTTAATGTTTGCCATCTATCACTGGAATCAGATTTGATTCGCTTTGCACTAAAGCAATTGATATTTTTCGATTTATTTTTTTCAGCTATTTTGTATCATATGGTGTTACTTTTTTTGCCATTAATTTTGCTTCACTAGATTTGTTACTAATCCTTTTGTGTTTCCTATGATGCTCTATCCTAATTAAGATAGACCCTTAATCTTATATAGTTTTTCAAATATGTTTTTTTCTCTCCTCATTATTCCTAAAAGACGATGACTTCTTGAGTATTCTCTTTCGATAGATTATCATTATGTCAAAAGTAAAGGTACAAGTTGTTAGTGTCCATCCATCGGCGAAGCTAAGATTTTGCTAAAGGAGAGGCACTTTGTAATTTAAGAAGATATAATAAAGTAAATCAGTAGTATTAATAGAGAAGGGGGGGTGCTATTTGGGAGTATGGGCCTCGTTAAAATTTAACATATAAATTTTGAGACCAAAAATAAAAAATATATAGATTTTAATAATATTTTAGATCTTGATCACTTAAATGAGCCCGGGAAAATTAATTAATATAAATTATGATTATAATTACCCAAATCAGTCATTTATTTTAAATTATTTACATTTGACTATAATATATTGTATAATAATATATAATTCATATTAAAAACTGTTTATTCGCGAATCCACCCCCCCCCCTTTTAAAAATGACGAACCAAGTAGTGCGTGAGATCCAAAGAATACGATCGAAATATATCCAATTTTAAAAATATATGGCCCTCAGTTCCCCTTCCCCAAGCAAAAATTTATAATCGCAGCCAGAGGTGTATTGCGAAAGGAGTGGGAGGGGGGGGGGGCTAAGTTCCTTGATAATTATTTTTGATTTTAGCTTCTTTTCTAAATTTTGAGGAGGCTCAGTTCTCCCCACCCCTCTACCCTCCAAGTATTTTTTTCAAAAATGTTAATTTGAATCTCTAATAAAAAGATTTATGGTCAAAAATCATTTTCATATTTTTATAGACACAACACAGGGTAAAAATGCAAATTATATTTTTTAATATTTGTATTTTCATTTATAAATTTTTATATGTTGCCGGCACTTCTGCATTATTTAAAGTATAGGGATCGATTCACCAAATTAGTGGTGATAGATCCCTTTTAACAGGTTTCGAATCAACTCTAAAAAACTAAACCTAATTTTTAAGCGAAAACTATCATCTTAACCTCGATTAAGATTCAAACATAAAAGATTGCTCAATCTTGAAAAAATGTATTCCTCGAGGCTTAACGAAATTTCTACTATTGGGATATAGCCGATTTAAAAACACATCAGGCAAGATATAATTCAATCTGCATAAATACTTATCTATATTTGATATCGGAATGGATATTTATGTATCAAAATTTAAAAAGAAATCAACAGGCAAATAAAATATTTTTAAAGTAAAATTCAGCCCAAGGAAAACAAGCCTTTATATATATTTTTTAATTTGAATAGATATTGATGGTATTAAAATACATTCTCCAGTAAATAATGGGATGCGGTGCTCAGCAAGATGTAATCGACAGATGTCTTTGGATGTTGTTCAATATCGAGGCTGATAAAAGGTCGGGTTAGTCGCTGAATGTTTTGCTAACTAGGTATGGAGAAAGAGTAAGGTTGCCTACTAAGGGAAGCCTATATTAGATAATTAGCTCAATATTAAATGCGAATAATATTTTTCCCAAAAATTAATTTGACCCGCTGCTTTATCACATAGCGATCTTAGAGCTAGGTACAGCGCGAAGAAGCCATAAATAAACTGCTGTTAGATTTCATTGAATTACACCGATCAGCAGAAGCTTTATAAAATCAGCTTGGCTAGCATTTGCGTTTCATTTACTTGTGCATATAAATTCTGAGATGAATCCCAACCGAATCAAAATGTTAACCTAAACCAAACCAATATTATCCACCCCGTTTATATAAAATTTTACTACTTTACTTTCACATGGGGTAATAATTATTATTTTATCTGAAATTGTATATCATTTGAAAATTAAATTATTTATTATATAATAAATATTAAGTATTTTGGTCATTATATTGCCTAACATTCATTATAAATTAAGGAACAGGTATTTTGCTTATATTATTTTATATTTTGTTCAACCAAATCATACAAATAATATTTTGTTAATTGTGTTGTTTATTCAAATTTGTGAAATAATTTATTTAAATGTTTTTTTACATATTGTGTTGTTAATTTAAATTTGTGAAATAATTTATTGAGTATTCATTTAAATGTTTTGTTACATATACCAGTTGATTGAAATGTTTTAGTATATATACCAGTTGATTATTATACATGTTATTATTATTTTATTTTTTAAAAGTAGAAATAAAATTTATTTAAAACAAAATATAACTTATATTTTTCTTGTTTCTTTTATATTTATATCTTCTAAGTTACATCATTTTACTTTTTTTTTGGTGTTCTATACTTCTGTATTTTTAAAATTTTAAATTTATAGTGAGAATTTTCAAACAATTATTAAGATTTATAATTTTTTTAAACCGTAAAATCTAAATAAATTGTTCACCGTAAATAAAACAGTTCGGTCTCCTGTTTAAAAGGAGCTATTTTATATATAAAGTATAAAAATTCAATCTTCATTATATATTATTTATATTTTATAAATAAAAATAAAAATAAATATTACCTGACTCATATTCTGAAATCTCAAAGCGGATGAAACAAGGGACGCTGCAGATTTTAAAAACTTCAAATTAGCAATAAGATTAGTTGATTAGATAAAATAGCCTTTAGAAGGCATAATAATTTTTTTTTATCGTTTTAATCTAGAGGCAGCGTATACATCGGGAAAAGAGGGGAGGGGGGGGGGGGGGTAGGAGCATTTTTTTCTCCAAATTTTTTAAAAGGTCATCTTAGATTAACATCGAAGAGGGGGAAGGGTTTATTGGGAAGTTATCAATTAAATTTTTTAATGAAATAGGAAAAATACATCATATAAAAATTTGTAATATACTTTTATTATTAACCTATTATAATATACATATATTGCTAAACATAGACCAAATCTACATTTCATATAATTATAGTCATTATTTTTAAATGAAATTTCTGGCTAATTTCCTATTATATGTTTAAATGTTTTAAAAGGGTAGACATTATATCAGCAAACTCATATTCATGTCAAATAATATACTATACTAATGTATTCATCGTAAATGAGTGGAAGCTTTATTTAATTCATAATCTTATTATAAAAAATAACTATTTTACCTTGACAATTATTTGTAGTTTATAGTAGGGCATTAATAATTTAGGTTGCACTTTCTATGATAGATGGATTTCCATTAATTTCAAAAAACATTCAATAAGGCGGGAATATCGCTTTCGAACGGCTAAATTTTATGAGCGAATATTCTGTCATGTAGACGATGTGGCTCCACTATAGGGGAGAGATGTTATAATTCAAGAGCGTTATCAAAATTAGAGGTAGCAGGCAAGTTGCAAATATATTATTGTATTAGGGGTTAGGATAAATCGTCTTAGGTTTGGGATATTGATATCCCTGTTACAGATAGAAAAATTTCCCATTTATACTAAAAAAAATTTCTCTTGCTTTTTTTTTATCTCTTTATGGCAATATTTTTACTGCCATGCACCATTATCTACTCTTCTTAATCACAATATGGAGTCTTTTAAAAGATATAAATGCTTTGCATCTGCCGTAACAACTAGCTTGCTAACAACTTTATGTGAAGTATTTCATTCTTAATACTCAAAATTTTATAAAATAAGGTTTAAGAATATGACATGATATAATATTGTGATATTTTTAATAACTGCATGTAGATTTCCATTTGTTTTTATTTATTCATTTTTTAAATAAAGTATCAATATATATATATGTGTATATATATATTAATTATTATATTTTCAAAGTGATTCCTTCTTGGCCAGCTATTTAAAATTCTGACAATGGGCATAGTGTGTACTTTCTCAAATATTGGGAGATAAAAAAAGGATGACAGCATAAAATAGCATCTCATATCACAGTACACAATTTTCTGATATCTGTAGAACCCCAAAGGATTCACTTATGAATGTGGCTAAAAAACTTTATCCAGATATATTATCCATTAAAGGTCTCTCAATTCTAGGTATATGAAAAATATTTTTCAACAATACGTTATATATCAGAATACAATGAGATAATTCATAAATGCCGTGATATATTATTACATGGGGGCGTTATATCAATGCCAACTGATACAATATATGGAATAGCTTGTTCTGCACAAAATATTAAAGCTGTCCAACGTTTGTATAATGTCAAACAAAGAAATATATTAAAACCAATTGCAATATGTGTAGCAGATATCGACCAAATTTATAAGTAAATTTTTTTGCTTTTGTAATACATCAATATATTAATAGATATGCAGAGGTAAATGTTGATAAATGTATGTTGAATGAATTATTACCTGGACCATATACTCTTTTATTTAATCGTAAATCTAATTTAAATCCTGACTTAAATCCATACAAATCAAATGTTGGTATTCGCATACCTAAAGATGATTTTTTATATAACCTAACAAAATCATTATCAAGTGGCCCAATTGCATTAACATCTGCCAATCTCTCAAATGAGCCAAATTCATTAGAAATTAAAGTTTGGAATTTTATTATATAAATTTAAATTTATTATAGGATTTTAAAAATATTTGGACCAATTTGGATTTAATTATTGATGGAGGTAAAATTGATAATAAAGAGGCTCAAGGATCTACCATAATTGATCTAACTAATTTGAATCATTATAAAATAACAAGAAAAGGAAGGTTTTTTTTCATAAAATTTAATTATGTTTATAGTTGAAATTAGTGGACTAGAAAAATGCATCAAAATTCTAAATAAATATAATCTACAAGATCTAATATAAAATATTCCAAGAAAATACTTATTTTTATTATTTAATATAGATAATTATAATCAAATTTATCTCAATCATTATAAAATGGTTTATAACTGTATATATCTAGACCTATGCACCAATTAACAAAATTATCAGTGATAGCCTTCCAGCTGATTGATGAGAAATTAGAATATAATTTAAATTTAATTAGAAATATAATATTTCATATTAATTTATTATGCAAAATTTATTTATAACATCTTCCCTGAAGAGATAAAAACAATTTCATTTCATAAATAATGAACTATCATTAATGATTTTTATAAAAATCTTTAGTGAGGCCAAAGATTTATATATTATGCTAATGAAGGTTATGATCCAGTCTTTGGTCTGAACTAGACCAATACACATGCATGATCTTAAATAAAAGACTGGTCCAGGACCAGTTTTTTTTAATTTTTTGTTATATATTACATATATTTTTGTTTTCCCCTAATTTATTTTTAGTTTATTATATAAAATATAAAAGTATGTGTTAACAATATAATAAATAATATAAAAAGATAAAATATACACAAAAAATATGAATTGAATAGTAGGCAATTTTAAATATTATTATAAGATTGATCCAAACTGTGTTCTTCAAAAAAAAGACTAGTCCATTTCTAGTCTAAGACTGATAGACTGGACTATTGACCTTCCCTATATTATATAAAGAATTGAAGACTAGGAAATTTACCTCATTATTTTATTTATAAATTGTAGTTTAATGGTATTTTCAAAAAAATTATATTACTATAAATTATTTAATAATAATTGAAACTTTTCTGAATAGGTTTTAAATGTAAACTGTTTAATTTATATTAAAACATCCATTTATATTTTATTAAATTATCATAATATTAACTATAAGTTAAATCATCAAAAATTTATATGCCTATATTAAGGCAACCATCAAGTGCAAAAATTATTACTACAAAATTTAATGAGAGTTATGAAATTTTATAATTTTTTAGCCTATTTTTATGCTTCCAAGTCTTATTACAATAATTTAAGCACTCAAAAATGTCTTAAATAAGCATTTAAGCTGGGAGCCAGAACTAAAAAGAGTTCAAGATTCAAATTTTTTAAAGAGGTTTTGAATTATTATAAATTTTAAAATTAGGTATCAGTTTAGGTTTGAGTTGGGTTCATTGCAGGAAAAAACCCCCAATTATAGAAAATTTAAAAATAACAAATGGAATATATATTATCCATAAATATCAAGGACTTTGTTAGCTCGTTCAACTTGGAGGTAGCGTCATTTTTATTTCCCACAATTAGCAAAAGAAGAATTTTATCTAAAAGTTGAGAAAAAATCGTATAGAATTTTTGGAGGTGCTTCAAGCTTATACCTTATACTTTGACAGTAAGCAATGCCATTATTTTTCATCAAAATTTGCCATATTTTGGCTTTAGGGAAATGGCTATTTTTTTAAAATGAATGTCTTGTATTTTAGACATTATAGATTACATTTTATTCAAAGCTAACTTCCTAATACTATTATATGAAAAGATATATTCAAAAAAGGAAATTTTCTCTCAGGGGTTTTCTTATGATGTATAGTTTTTTAATTACAATTTTAAATTTTGGGCCAAGCTAGTTTTCAAGGTTCTATATAAACTCATGTAAACCTTAACATTATAAAAACTAAAAAATTATCTTGCAAATATAAAATACAGACAGGCACGTATCCAGCGGTTAAACCCCCCCCCCCCCCCAGTAGCAAGAATCTTTGAAAAAATATAAAAGGACTTCATGAATTGTGATTTGCAAAAGTATTCTATTTCAAATAGACTATATTCTATTCTAAATATTAGCAAAAAGTTATATTAATTTAAATATTTATTTCTTGTATATTAATATTTATATCACGAAAATTTAAAGTCTAACATTTTTTTAACTTTAAACACTGATTTTATCCAAAAAAATTATTTAATTCATCTCTATTAATAGCTATAAAATTTAGTGTATGAAATGTTCAGTTATCCAAATAGGTAGAATTCGCTGAATATAATACTTTCCGAGACTTTGTGCAAAAGAAACTGCAAACAGCCTACACGACCAGATAGAGCCTTTGACATCGCGCTGATAGAGAATTTTTTAAATCTAGAAGATCATATTTTGTATCCTAAGGAGAAATATTAGAATCATCTAAAAAAATGGATTTGACTGAAATTATGAGAATCGCGGATTGGCCATTCCATGTCAAATCGATCAAAAAAGGTACATTTTCGGACGACCCCTTTTAAAATTGTTAAAAATTTCTGGAATTATTTAGATAGGTATATAAATGAGAAAGCTGTTTCTTTAGCTCGCTAGCACACCTGCCAAGATATAGGGGTTCAAAAGTGGAAAAAAAGAGCCACTTTAGAATCTAAAATTTTTAAAATGCCTATATCTCAAAAACTATTTATAGTAAAAAAATGTATAATATATCATATTGTAGGTAAAAAAAATCCCAAAAGGGCTATCAAAATAATAATAAAAACTGACGCCAATTTGAGTCTTTAACTTCCAGTTTACTTATCTTGCTTCACCTGTATTTTTAAGGAAAAACGAGTTTGTTTTCGAAATTTTTTTTTGCTTTTATTTAGACACCTTTTATAAATATATATACGATGTCAAAACCTTACAGACGCTATCGACTTTTCCGAAATATACATTTTTACCAAAAATTGAAGAAAAAAGTAGATGGCGCTATTGGTTGAAAAATATTATTCTTAAGGAAAATAAAAATATTAATACGTTTATAAGAAATTAGATAAAATTTTCCACTTCTGCCCCCCCCCCTTCCTCCCACCATCCTTAAAATGTTTTACATTTTTTAGATCTCTACTTTGCTACTTTAGCTAATGACTTATAGTTCGATTATAACAGCTGCAGTAAAAACCAATATTTTATTAGGCATATTATCGATTATATTTTACAAAATAAACTGTTAAAAACGATCTCTCTTTCTGCGTAATATTTTTAACTTGTCCGTTCAGATTAATTTTAAATATTACAACCCGTCTGCAGTTTATTATTTTATCGTCTATCTACCAAAACATTCTGGATTTGGAGAGTGCAAAATCATATATTTTAGGTGCAGATCAAAAAATTTTATTCTATATCACAGATGGACGTACCAAGTATTAAAATATTGCAACCCATTTAATCTACAGAGACATGCTTATTATCGCGAGAATCTAAGAAAGATTCTACCCTGGATGACCCAAAAAAATTTACCATTCAATTTAGATATGATAATATGCTCATCATGCCGACAAAAATTAGCAAACATTTATACTTCAAATGACAATGTAGATATTGATTCTCCCCCTCATATAATTAATCAAGAGACTAATGATAACATTAATATATCCCTACAATCAAATGGGGAATCTCTCATTAAAAGAAAACGCTTATGTGAAAAGAAATATTCAAAGAAAAAAATATCTAGAGTAAAAAAAGTTTTAACGGCTAAAATTATACCATTATCTTCATCAAATAATGAAAAATTTGATGAAATTCTAGATACCTTAAAAATTAAAAAAATTATATGAAAAATATTTATTATTGGAAATTTGTTACATCATTAAGTGGCTAATGGGCATTTGCCCACTCTGATCCTTAGTTTAATTATTATATTTAATAAAAATTCAAAAATTTTTAGTATAAAAAGTGAAAATATCCGGTTATTGATAAGTTAGCAACAAAATTTAACCATAATCGGTAATTTCATAAAGCGCCATCTATTTTTGGAGTTGATAGCTTCGCCAAGGTTTTGATATCGTATATATATTTAGCAAAGGTGTCTAAATAAAAAGCAATAAAAAATTTCAAAAACAAACTCCCTTTTTTGCTTAATAACACAGGTAAAACAAAATAGGTAAACCGGTAGTTAACGGTTCAGATTGGCGCCAATTTTTATTGTTTTTTAATAGCTCTTTAGAGATTCTTTTTACCTACAATTTGATATATTATATATTATTTTACTTTAGTTTTTAAGATATAAGCATTTTAAAAATTTTACAGATTCCAAAGTGGCTCTTTTTTGCACCTTTGATACAGGGTTCTCAGTCCTGAAAATAAGATTTTAAATTTAGCAAAAATAAAATTTTTTAAATTTTATAAGCGAATTATGATATCTTTCAAAATCTAGATGTAAGTTTACATATATGCCAAAGAAATGATTTCTGGATTTTTAGCACATTTATATCATTTTTAATAATAAAATTTGGCAATTAATTAAAACTTACTTGCAAAGTTTTGTAAAACAAAATATTTTTTTTATTTGAAAACAATTCATAATATAACCTAGAGATTTAAATCAATTTGATTAAATTATGCCAGCCCTAACTATAATCACTATTGTTTGATTTATTTACAACTGTTATTATTTTATATCTAAAAATTAAAAGATTTTTCACAAAAAAAAAATTTGGAATTTTGAGCAAAATTTGATCAAAATATTGCTTGAATACCAAAAATATCTGAAAATATTTTATTCTGAGCATTTTCCCAAACCCCTACTAGAGCACTAAGGATATATCCTGGTTTGATTTATTTTTGATGCCTAATGCTGTTTAAAAAAATATTTTTTATGCCTAACTTTGACAATGCATTGCAACTTTGCATTTAATAAAACTCTTTTACCTTGTGATTGTGTTTTTTCTCGAGTCTTATAATTTGATAATCCAGGAGACAACAATACATATTCCTAAATAAATGTGGCAGTAAAATTTTTACATAAAAAAATGATTTTATAGTGAAAAGAATAATTATGTTTTAAATAGTTTATATATTTTTTGTATTTAATTTTGACAGAGTTTATATATGTTACTTTATATTCAATCCATCCTGGGTGAACGTGTGTCCTGTAAGAGATAAAATGCCCTAAAGATTATAAAAAATTTCAAATAAAATTCCAAAAAATAGACCACTTGTTCACAAACAGGTCAAAACTTTAGGCTTAGATGGCCCGAATTTGAAAAATAATTATTTTCATGCTTGGCCCAGATATAAAATTTTCTTATTTTAGGTTTTTGGCCTGATCTAATTTTAAAATTTCGTTATTTTGAATAATTTGGGCTATATTTTGCAAGTTGTTTTAAGTGGGAAATCGAAAATATAAGCAGTAAATAAATATCAAACGCTCCTTTATTTTGATTTACCAGATAATTAAAATTGATGAAATTTAAAAATAAATTTAATTTTTAAGCCCCGTCAGGATTTTTAAAAATCATACCATTTCTCGGCCCATTTCCGTGCTTTGAAAAATATTATCAATAAAAAATAACATAAATATTTTATATTCATTAAAAATATATTAGGACAAAAAGGTTTGGAAAAAACTCTTATATAAATTTATATTTATTAAAATATAGTAGGATAAAAAGGATGGGACAGACGGAGAAAGAAATATTTGATCTTCTTTTATTGATCAAATCTAACCAGCTAAACCTAGGAACAACTAACGATGTGTAAGTAATCACGAATTTAATTTTATTGCGCAGACGTTAATACAATATGCATTTAATTCGATATATTCTCAATTTTATTCATAAAATAATAGTGTTCAATAATATGCTGTTTGTTTATAATGTAATTTTTAAATAAGCTATATATAATGTGTATTGGTGTATAATAAAAATTTATATGAGCAAATCTACAAAAAAATTGTAATATAAGAGTTATCTAGGATTTGAATATACTAATGATTTTTTTAACTAAATTACGTTGAGAAAATTAAAAAATTAGAAGAAAAAAATGAGAAGTCTTCAAGATTTAATGTTAATCCAGTAAAAGCCTATATTTTTTTTAAGGCGAATACCTTCATATAATTATTCCTTTCCTTAATAATTAAAGAAAAGAAAAAATAAACTCTTGAGATCTCTAAATCCCCTCTCACCTTAAATAATTATACTAACTTAATTAAATATGAGGTGCTTTTTAAACAAAATAATAATAAAACAATTTCTTTTTAAAAAAGGTTGAATAAAAGAAAAATAATGAGATTTTTAGATATTTATAAAGGTTTTTGAGTATTAAAAAAATTAAGGAGTTGTCAAAATATATTTATTTATACATATAAAATAATCAACAAAAGAAATAGCACCCCAATAAATTAGTATAATTTATTTATGTTAGTGACGGTGAGGGGGCAACTTTAACCTCAGCAGCCTGCCTGTTCCACTGCTTGACCTGAGCTCTTCTTGACTGTCAGGCTCGTATATATCTAAATCAAAATTAATTTTTAGAAAAATGTATGAAATCAGAATTAGTGGACATTTATAGTAATTATAATGTTTAAAATTTTCTAACTTAAGGCAAATTTAGAAAATTAATATTTTTTAAAATGATGTAAAATATCGTAAATGATCCAAAAATAAACTTTAATTAGATAAATTAAAATTTTATTACATCATAAGCATTTTCAGATAATAAACATATGCTGTTGAATTGAAAAATTGTTTTTTTACTATTAAATAATTATATTTATAAAATAAATAATAAAATCTCAATTAAGTAATATTTTTTTATTGAGAATAAATAAAAAACTTCAGAATTGGTAGGATGTATGCCAATGGTGCGATCAAAATCGGCCTTAGTAGCACCCACCTTCATTGCAACTGCGTAGCCTTGTGTTACCTCTCCTGCGTTAGGCCCTAAAAAGTGGAACCCAACCACCCTTTCCTTTCAGATTAATGAATTGAATTATAAAAAAAAATTAATATTAAAGTCATAAAATTTATCAAGATATCCAGTTTTTCCCCGATAATAAAAAATATCTATTAAAATAATTCAAATTATTATAATTTATATTAGTGAAATGTACAATAGAAAGTTTTAGGCCAATCGGTCTAAATATTTTCTTTCTGCCTATCTGGCCAGAAATTTATTCGCCGAACTTGTACATTTAGATACAGGGTATTATTTAATATATATTATCTTTAATTTGTTAATTAAATGTAACATTTACCTTTTCGGCTTTATTAACGATGAGTTTGCCATAACAAGCGTTATCTTCCCTCCCTGGTATAGTCCATTCCAAAGGTTTAAAAGATGTGTGATACACCTGTAAAATAAATTAATGAGATATGATATCTCCAAAGAAAATTAACAGAGGCAGAGTACAATTTGTAAAAAAATATCGTATATCTAAGTTTATCTAGCAATTTTGATATTACTTCTTATGTCTCAAAAACAAATTAAACAAGATAATTTGCAAATTAAAACCTACGTGAGGAAATAAAAATTGATCCCAACACCATAAAGTGATTATTTGTTCAAATTTCCTTCTTTATTTATTAAACCTCGATTCCATCCTCTCCGAATTTATCTATAGCCTTTTCTTCACTTAAGCCACAGGCTCCGTATTCTAAGGGCGTAAAAACAGTAGTAGGAACGTTGTCATAATCGCACAAAGTTTCTTTATCCTCCGGTGTAATTCCATAAAGTCTTCGAACCAATAAAATACCTTGTTAGTTGTTTTTGAATATTTTATTAAGATTGTAAGTTTAATTGATTTGTTATCATATTCAATTATTTCGAGTGAGAGTTTTAAGCAAGAATTCGAATATGTATAACGTAATTTTAATAATAATATAAAAGTTTTTTATCTGAGCATATTTTTCTATTAAAAGCGCTTAAAGGAGTATATATCATATTTTCGTCACCTGTTAATATTATAACTTAATGCATTAAAATAAATTCATCTTAATAATGGAAATCTTTAAGATTAGTTGGCGAAACCTGATCCAAACCAGCCCGTGGAATTTTCTATCAGGTTTTTCGACCTAGCAGCCCATAATTATTACCCAGAATGACCTGTAAAATATATTTTGCACAAATTGTCCAACCCAACCCGTTATAATTTTTTATAAAGGAAACGACATAAATTTGCCTATCAGCCTTATCATTTTTATATCTTCGGCCTGGCTTGTAAAAATATTTTGAAAAATTTATCCGGCCCAGTCCGAAATTTTTTTCTCGGCCCTGCCTGCAGTGGGCTGCGCTGACCTCTACTTAGGATCGTGGAAAATGAAAGATATTAAAGTAAATCATTAATAGAAGAATAAGAAGAAATTAATCTTAAAATCAATCATTAAAATTCTCACAAATAAAATGTTGATATTTTTTTTAATCCTGCATGGCGTGAATTAGTGTTTATTAGTCATTCCGAGACCAGCATAGCCTTGTTGGGCCAACCAATCATACATCAATAAAATATAGGCCCAAATCGTGGCCTAAAATTATTAATTTTATATGTCATTCCTTATAAAAATTTTAAAAAATCAGGCGGAAAATATGTACTAATCATTTCCATATAATATTTTGTGATAAATAGAATATAGATATACATCATTAAATTAATTATCAAAGTTATTGAATATTTAAATTTAATGCATATCATTAAATTAAATAATGTAATATTTTCAGTTAAACTTTTATAATTCAGGGAGGGGCAGAAACAGGTCACAAGTCTAGAGCTAAAAAAATGCTCACTCACTGATTGCAGGCATGGGTCAAAAAAAAAATTGATTTTAGAGATATCTAAGTAAACATTTGGAGATTGTACAAGCCCAACTCGACTTCTCAAAATAAATATACAATTGAATCTTGACTAAAAACAGTTAATTAACAACACTATTTTGAACGAAGATTTAACAAATATGATAAATTTAAATATTTCATCAATCAAAATATATAAATTTATTAAAATATATAGTTTATTTTAAAAAGTAGAAGATAAGGGAAAAAATAAAATATATATTAATCTCAAACACATAAAAAATTTTTATTATACCAGCTTCGACAGCCACCGGGGTTAGTTCGGGCCGGCCTTGGGCGTTATCCCCTAGAGCATATATATGGAATATGTTTGATCTATCTCGTTCATCTGTTATTACTTTGTGGGACTCTGGGTGTAATTTTATACCAGCGGCCGTATCTAAACCTACGTCTTTCGATTTGGCTATACGTCCTATTGCTAGTATGATCTTTTTTTGGAAAGTAAGAAATGCCATTAAAATATTTTAAACTTTAAGTCTAATATAAAATTAAGATATTCCATAAAAATAGATTTATTTTTGTAAGGTTCTAACTACACTTTAATGAATTCTAAAGAAAACGTGATATAACTCGTGTATAACAGTTATTGAACTTTATTTTATTATTTTAAAAAACATAATTTGTTATTAATCCTTTAATAGAAGGTGTCGTTTGAAAATCTCGCACAGGTATCTTTGATTATAACCATAACTAAATTTAGACCAAAGGTGGAATTAGTATAGAACTCTATAATAATCAGACAAAACGAAGAATTATAAAATATTGCTATTACTTACCGTATTAAAATCTTCGTTTTGTTCCGTCTCGTTTCCGTCCTTGTCTTTAACTTTGTAATATACGCGGTATATACCTGGCTTGCCATCCTGGATCTTTCAGCGATATTTTAAAAAATGAAATTAAATGATGCATTATTATTTCTTCAATCTTTTTTTTTAGTATTTATTTATAACATAAAATCATGGTATAACTTTATTAATTTTACCAACAGATCGGTAATTAAATAAAATCAATTTATGTAATAAGCAACAATAAACGTTTTATAGCTTTTCCCGTTAACCTGGATATGCCAAAGAAATATATATCATATTAATTAACATATTTCTATTCTAGTCGGACAAAAAAGATCCCTTCAAAGTAGAAAATACAAATATTATAATAACTTTCTAAACATAATTTTGAATTATTCACCTTATATTCAAAATTATTAACATTTTAAATAATATTTGAAACATGTATATTTGGTTAGCTTTTCAATCAATTCATGCAAAATTAATAACTGAATAATGCGCATGGGTTATCAATAGAATTTCCATATATTAATAAAAAGGAATTTTTAAATGAAGCAGATATTTTTGCTAAACAATTTTGGACTATATATGAAATATAAAGATACTAGCAAGTTTAAATGAGTACCCAGAAAAACAAAAATAATTGTGAACAGATTAAGATGGTATGAACATACTATGAGAAGGCCCCAAAACTAAATCGGAAACAAAATTAAAAGTTAGAAATAATGGATAAGCTGAAGAGAGGCAGGCCAAAACTTTAATGTGCCCATAAAGTAAGTCAATATAGTAAAATATAAATTAAATAATACAGATTGTATGAACAATATAAAATGGAAAGAAATACTGAAGGAGCTTACCACCCGAAAAGATGAAAGCTAAAATATAAATTTTTTTTTTAAATGTTCATTAAAAGAATAAATCACTTTTTCAATCTTGACTGGCACGGCTGGCCTTATAAAAGTGATTCCGTGGATGCTCATGTATTTTCCTATTAACTCGGCCATCTGTTGATCGAACCCCCTAAGTAAGATAGAACGGACCATAACAGTCGTTTGAAAACCTATTCCTTGGAGAAACCCGGCGCATTCTAGTGAAACGTAGGAAGCACCTATACAAAGTGTTTTGCCAGGAGGGTAGGGTAGGCTGAATATATCGTCGCTAAACAATAAAAACATTTTTGAATATGGAATTTTAAAAAAATTTATTTAATATTTAAATTTATAAAGTATTTAATTATTAGTTATAAATGAGATTTTATTATAAATGAAAATGTTCTATTGTCGATTAACACACATTTTTCGTGCATATTTTGTAAAATTCGAATAAAAAACGTATCTCATATCATTTTTACTAATTCTCTAACTATTAGTTTGTAGCCTTTTTTATTAAATTTCAATTAATTTTGATATAATCGTATCTAATCTAATGGAAAACTTACTATTCTATCCAAACAAAATTTTATCAATTGACATACAATTTTGAAAAAAATAAATAAATAATTCATAGCACATTTTGAACCGAGAAATATCTATTAATATTGGAACAATATTTACATCCTAATGATAAATATTTTACCTCATTTAAAATAATGAAGAATTTCATGTTGCATATTAAAAATATTTTTTGTTGTAAAAAAAACAACTAACCTAGTAATACAATATTCTTTGGCACCAGGAATATCAGGATACTGAGGCCTGACGCCAGTCACAACAATAAAATGTTTTCCTGTTACTTTTGTGATTTTACCTTGTTTATCTTTAGCCTTAATTATAATTAAAAATTATATGAAAGAATCTTACGGCGATAAAATGTCTAAATAATATTTATATTAGGTAGGTTACTCAATTGTCCAGATTATTATAGGGTTTCAACCTGTTTACCCCTTATATTAAAAAACCATCAAATTAATTTCACTTTAAATTAGAAATAACAAAAGCGATTCCGATATCAGGTTGGTAATATCTATGACACATTAGTGAATGGTTTGAAAACAACAAAAGACCAAAAAATGAGGGTTTCTTTGTCAAAATAATAAAATATTTTTGCGTTTTTGGTTATTTGTTATGATTTTGGCATATGTGAATCTTGAGCAAGATTATGCAAAGTGACAGCAACGACTTAAATGATGAGTTACGCTTATAGAAAAAATTTACGAATTTTTGGATCGATAAGAATAGTTTTAATAATGCCTTAATCACACAAAGAGCTTGCTGATGAGTGTGGGGAAAAAGTGCTAACCAGCAAGATCGTTAATTCGATGGAAAAAAGATTGAAGGTAGTTTTCCTCTGAAGTTGAGGATGAACTTAAACATAATATTTTCAATGTGTCGCTCGATCAAACTATTTCATTACACGAACGCTTTCAACAGTTTAATTACCTTTACTGACCATATTGGCTTCCTGTTAGATATATTTTTTTTGTCAAGCGCATCTGATGCTGATTAGAAATTTATTCATTAAATAAAATATTTTGTTTACAAGTGAAGATTTATTCGAGAATAACATTAATGAATTAGATCTAATGATCGAACTGAAGATTTTAATTAATATATTATCCATACCATCAAAACTCCCAGACAAATTTTAGGCTCTATTCATAGTAATATAGAGAAAGGATTTCCTAATATTTCAATTGTTTTAAAAGTTTTACCAACAATTTTGATTCCCGGAGCTTCAGGTAAGTGTAGTTTTTTAAAACTGAGAAATTTAAAAAATATACTAAACAAATTTTATAATGAAAAAAATGAAATATAATCAACTTCAATAGTGTGAGGGTCAGTAAAGCGAGCGTAAGCGTTGTAATATTTAACCCCCTTTTCCCTCAGAGTAGTTTTGTACTTGAAATTTAACCCATGTATGTAATCTTGCACCCCTTTATGAGATATTATACATTAAAATAATAACATTTAAGCTAGTATAACTAAATTGTATTATTCTTTATTTTCTCTCTTTCTTTCATATCATTACTTTTTGATTTTCTTATTATTACATAATAAAATTTTGATTCAATTCTATCAACCTTTAACCAAGGTATTCCAATTATGAGTTCTGTCAGGATTTTTAAAAGTAACGGGAACACCTTTTTTATCGACAGTTTCCATTTTCTGTTTTTTGTCGGTCTTTTCCTTTACTTGATCATCGTTTTGTTTACCATATTTATCATCCTACAAGAAATTTAATATTTGTTTTCCCATTAAATAAGCATTGAAGAATAGAGACGATAAAAAAAATTCACTGTCCTCTTCATTCAAAAGCAAATACATACATATAGATATTTCCTTCCTAGAATTGTCGGAAATCTTACATTATATAATCTTAAATCGTTTAATAGTTTAGGGCTTTAAATCCAAAATGAATGCCATATGAATAATAACATGATATACAACAAAAGCTAAAAAAATGCCAGCTCTCAAGCCAGTGACGTGGCAAGGAAAGCAGGCGTTATTAAAAGATAGTTCAGTATGCATATATTGACCTGCGACCGACTAGAGTCTTAAAACCAATTTTTAGAAAGCCAAAACGGACCAAAATTTTTTATAAATTCGATCTAGGCTTGTTAGTAAGTCTGGGCAAAAAAAATTTAAAATAATATTTAAAAAAACCTTATCCTGATTTTCATTAGCACTTTCTTTGTCTTTTCCTGGTTTATCGTTAGTAGAATTCTCCTGTTTCTCTATTGTATCAGAATGATTATTGGGATATTCCCAACCGTATTTAATGGAATCGGAGGCTGTTTCATTGAGTAGCGCAGCGTAATGCATGAGCTTTTTTGGGATACAACCAACATTGACGCAAGTTCCCCCTAAGCCTTTTACCATAAAATATAAAATATTTTTAAGGGGGAAAAAATGAATGTAAATAGAGTTAGAATATAATCAGGTCATAGCATTTTTAAGCATAAATATGATTTAATTCAAATAATTAGAAGATTATAAAATTTATGGCAAAATAGTAATAATAATTTTAAAAAAAGATTGATTATGTAAATTAAAATGATTAAATTATTAGAATTTTATGTTTTTTAAACATATTTTAATATATTTTTAAGGCCTGATATGGTTTATGCCACCTTTAATTAATAATGTAGCAAATTAATTACAAAAAAACCAAAGGTATTTCGTAAATCAACATAATCATATTTATTTATCATATATAATTAAATAATTCGTAAAATTAAATTGAGAAAAAAAAAGAAAATTACAAATAAAGATTAACAGCACCTTCTTTCCTTTTTTTACTGAGTTAAAAAAAATTTAGTTTATCATTTTTGAGTATCTCTGGTTTTATATGACTAGAATTAAATAAATATCTTAATATTGATTGATCTCCCCTGCCTAAACTGGGTGTTAGGTGTAAATATTTAACGTGAGCTAGGTTTCAAATAAAATATTCTTATATTTACCTAGGAAAAATAATTTAATTGTTAATTTTCCTTAAAATCCCTAAAATGAATTACGTTCGTTTATGATTTACTAATCAAACCCTATATATGATCACGTTCGTTTATAGTTTACTAACCTCCTTAAAAAAAGGTCTTTAAATCTTTTATAAAAATCATATTGAAATTTCAAGATAAAACTATAAGTTTAATAATATTTTTGCCAAATTTTATGTGGCCCCTTACCATACCAGGCTATGTAAGGATAACAATTCAATTATCATTTTTTAAAAAAAATTTATTAATGAGTCAATTACCCCATGTGGTTCCAATCGGTGTTGGAACAATGTAATCAAAAACTGCAACTTTTTTACCAAATTTAGCAGCTTCCTGTATAAAAAAAAGAATAAAATAATCTTAATTAATCTTTTAGGGTGGAAGAATTGTTCTTCAAATCTCGTTTGGCTTTTGCTCTCAAATATCATGATGTATGTATATTATTTGGGCTATGCCGATATTTTTGTCGATATTAAAATGACCTCGTTATAAATGTACATATCTTAGAATTGGCATCATCTAATTCTTGTATCCATCTTGGAATATCGATATAACATTAAAACTTGTTATAAAACAAAATTATTATAAGGAGGCGTCAGAATTGGCCGATCAAGAATTTGTTCTTGATCGGATCGGCATAAAATTGTTAAAACCCGATCCACGACATAGGCTCATTTCATTTGCCGATGCTAACTATTCCTCAATATATTTTTATTTGATATAATATTTTAAAGTATAATTAATATTCCAAGATGTTATGCATTAAAAATTTACTGCTTATCTTGTGGCAATCTCGAGATATGCACATTTATAACCATATCATTTCAATGTCGGCTCAGCTATATATATTATTTTATATATATACTTTGGAGGCGGCTTGACCACCGGATCCTCCCCCGAGAACAATCAAATCGTAATCGTATTTTTTCCCATCATCTCCTACTTCCCTACCTTTGTTGTTTTGGCTTTGAATTTCATTTCCCGTGATTCCATCGTCTTTACTAAGAGGTTCCTTGATTTCCACAGCCTTTTCTCCCTTATCCATGAGCTCCCTCAACTTACCTTTCTCGGCGAGTTTGAAAAGTTTGTCGGAACCGCCTACATGAACAGCGTTAACAAAAATGTTTGGGACCGTCCTTTGGCCAGTCATGTCCAACAGGGCTTGTTGAAGTTTGTCGCCGTTTTCTTTTTCAAAAACAAGGTAAAATTATTATAATGCCTAAATGTTTAGTGAATAATAGAGATGTATCGATACAGCTTATTTTTCTCGATACCGATAATAAAAACTGATACCACCCCGATGCCAAAAATTATGCATAATTATCACAATATAGAATTTCTCGAAAAAAAAGCAAAAATATGATTTATTAATAATATATATAATTAATTTTTTTTTGAAATTTAAAATTTAAATAAAATAATAATAAAAAGAAAAAATCAAAAGCCTCTTCTTTCTTTCTTCCTTTCTTATCATATATATAATAGTAAATAAAAAATTTTTTATAAATTCGTTTATAGCTAAAATGTATGCTAAAAAAAATTAAGTTGGATAATGATAATCATTGGGAATTGGTCACATCGTTTAACATTATAAGTAGTGTTTGCAACGGTCCGGTCCGACCGACGGTCCGGTCTTATTAGACTTTTCGGTCCTATGGGACGGTCCCGTCCAACAACACGGTCCGGTCCGGTCCGACCGAAGACCGATTAAAGAATATAAAAGTTTACTATAAATTGCTTTATAGTTAATGTGTAAGTACATGAACATATAAAATATGATTATTTAATGCCTAACACTATATAATATCTAATTCATCGTTTACTTTTTATATTCTTCCGTTTCATTAAATTCAATATTCATAGTTTACTTTTTATATTCTTCTTTGATTAGGCATTTGTGTATAATATAATAAAAATGAATTGATGATATAATTGAAATATTAATAGGGTAATTTAACTATTCATTTTTAATAAATTTAAATGCAGAATAAAACTTTTGTAGCTTTATAAAAAAAATTTTTTAGGTGGGACCGGACCGCCTGGACCGGACCTGACCGACGGTCCCACGGTCCGGTCTCATTTGACTTAACGGTCCATCGGTCCGGTCCCATTTTAGAAAAAAAGACCGGACCGGACCGTTGCAAACACTAATTATAAGTATATATTGACACCATGATTAATAGGCTCAATATTGTTTATTTATTCTTGTTATTCGAAAATTATACGAAATTAAAAGGGTGTGATGTTGTTAAACGGCTTGTTTTGAGTCCATTTTCAAAAAGGGCCAACTCAATATTTTATCCAGAAAAATATTAGGCAAGCTTAATTATTTCGCACATAGATGGTACAAAGGTTTAGACATCTATTAGCGAAATCTCGAGGCTTCGGCTATATTTTTCTGGGATATTGAGTTAGCCGTTTTTAAAAATCGGCTCAAAACAAGCTGTTTAACAACACTAGTTGGTGATATATTATTATATATATTATCTGTCAAAAAAAAAAAATTTTTTTATTTTATAATTATCATTAAAATTTTATTCGAAAAGCAATTTTTGAAATAGGCCTCCAGAAAATTAAATCGAATAATAAAATATAAATTTCGAATCGAATAATTTCAATTTTTTTTTAAAAAAAAACAAATATTTTTCAGATATTCTAATCAGTACACCATTTTTTTAAAACATTTTATTGCAAAATTGGCAAACACAATCCATATAAGTAGTATTAAATAAATAAGTTAATCGTCTATAACTTTTTTTTCTAATGACATATATAAATGTTGAGGTAAGGATAAGGAACCTATCCCCTTAAAGCATAGAAAAAACTCTCAACATGGATATTCGTACACATCCCTCTAACATCAAAGGTGCTTGAAGTTTCATATTTAAACTAACTTATGAATACTGTTACTCCAAATATTTTCAAAATAAATTTAAACAAAATCATAAATAGAGGTTAATTAATAAAAATAGAATGGCAATTATAATACGAACATTTATTTTTAATCATCGGGATTTCGTCTGCGCAGTTGGGTCAGGTAAAATTCCTGAATTTACGATGCAATGACAGAAATAGAAGTGGCCCTATACAATTATTCTCTGAAAATGAGGCCTAAAAATATGCCAATCTTAAAGTTTATGGTTGCCCTTGGTCCCGGAAAAATTAGGCCTAATGATAAATAATAATATTTCAATAAATAAAACATGTGTAGTTATATTTTATCCAATTTTAATATTTCAAATTTTTTTTTAAAAAAATGGCCACCAATATTTTGAAAAATTATATAATAAATTTTTACAATACTAAGGCACTATGATGATTAAATTTTCGGATCTCTGCATTATTCTATCTCATATCAATAATATCGTCAAGGTCTCGTATATCAATCTTTGTTAAATTTATTTTAACTCTACTTTGAAAGTTGATTACTTTCTGAAATTAACAGTGTATTTCGATTCATATCTTCATATATTATTGCTAACGAAAAGTTTGACATAGACTTATAACTTAGTTACACCGTTTAGTCCTGTATTCACAATCAGCTTTTTATAAGTCCTTGATCATATTCATACCATGCTGAAATAATGTCCTTGGATCTTTCTCTCCCAAACTAGCAATAATCAAGCTTTTAGCTCTTTATTCACAATCAGCTGTTTACAAGATTATAATCTAGTAAATTTTTGGATCCTTCCTATAGCTATATATGAAATCTAAACAATTATATTAACAACATGAATCATTCATTTATTATCATACCTACATATTTTTAAAATAACCAATTACTGTCTATTTAACCCATCATTGCCTAGATGTGCAGGATCAAAATTACAAACAATACCTCTCATAGTTTTCTTGCACATTACACATACCCTCAAACTTATAACAAACAATTTTGTAACATCATTTTAAATATTCATAATCCTATATACATAAATTTATCTATTTTACAATTTGATTCTTAAATTCCGACCTGAAATATTAACACAACAATCAACATATCTCAACCAAAATTCCTTCCTACCTTGTTAAATGACATGGTATTTTAATATTTTAATCCTACCCAATATCTGACAATCCCTTTGACCTTAAACATAATAACCTAACCCTTACACGCCACCTTATATATTGCTCCACAACAATCATTAGTACAATAACATTATTGTGACTTGCTCAACAATATTGCTGCACAACAATCACAGTATAAGAACATTAATGTGGCTTGCTCAACTTACCACCAAGATTTCTTTGATTCAACCAATGATATTCCTGCACAACAATCTTTAACCTCAAATTTTAATACATATTTTTCCAAAAATATAGATTTTAAGTTAGTTTGTATTATATATTTTTTTTTTAAATATAAATTTCTATTTAAACATTACTCAATTATTCTTAATACAACAAAATTTAAATTTTTAATTTTAATTTAACTTTTATTATATATATTTTTTTTTTTTTTGAAAAATCACTCATTCATACATACCCCCTACCCTCTTCTCCTTTTTTTTATTCTTCTAAAATGGGTATGTCAAGCATTTGTAATGCCTGCCATAGAAATATAACCTTGACCCAAGCTATTTGTTTTTATAAACATGGGCCCAGGTCTAAACCATGTATAAACTCTGGTAAACCCCCTTCAAATGAAATTTTATACAACAAAATTGAAACAACCCCCATTGTAATCCAAAATTCTTATCCTGATTTTTATGATAATTTTTTAAAGTGGGAAAAGCCACCAACCTTAATCCACCTACCCCTTAAATCAAGGTCTTTAATTTCTAATTTTTTAACAACACTTATTATGGAAGTTAATTCAAATTTAAATTCCCTTAAAGCTTGGGAGAATCTTTTAACCTTTCCTTTTAAAGTCTTAATTAAACCTACAGATAAAAATAAAAAAACTATTTTACATGAATGTATAAAATATAAAATAGACCATTTTTATGATTTAGAAATGGAAAATTACGTTCCTGATGTAAGGGCAACATCTAATTTTTCCCATAAATGTAAGATTATATCAAAAAAAATAGACCAAGGGGACGTATGTGGAGCTCTTAAATTAGCCTCATCTAATGATAAATTGGCTCCATTTGATGAACATACTTTTACTTTACTAAAAGAATTGCACCCTCAGGCTTTTCCTGAAGATCTTCCCATCCCTATAAAATTTAATTTAATCGAAATAGGTAAAGAAGAACTTATTAAAACAATTTTATCTTTTAATAAAAACTCTGCAGGGGGAATTGACGGTTTTCGCCCCTCTTATTTTCAATTTTTAATTAACCCTAAAAATCCTCATAAAGATACATTTGTAAATTCATTGGTAATACTTAGTGAAAATATATTGAACAATGATTTACCCAGTCAAATTCACCAAATCCTTTTTGGCGCAAGATTAATTGCTTTTACTAAGCCTGATGGTGGAGTTCGGCCAATCGCAATAGGGTCTTTTTTTAGGAGACTATTAGCTAAGATAATCGTTGAGCGCATCAAACCTGATGCTTCAAAAATGTTCCAAACATATCAACTAGGCTTTGGTACTAAAGGGGGATGCGAAATAGCCGCTCACTCTCTTCGCATATATATCGAAGATCCTCCTCCAGACGCCGTAGTCTGTAAGCTTGATTTTAAAAATGCTTTTAATTCTTTATCCAGAAAAACATTTTTAAACATTTTTTATGAAAAATTCCCATTTTATGCAAGATTTATTGAACAGTCTTATGGCTGTAGAACCCCTCTCAAATTCTGGGAATATACAATTCCTTCTGACGAGGGTATTCAACAAGGAGACCCTTTGGGCCCTCTGATCTTTAGTTTAGGTATACATAACCTAGTTCATTGTCTAAAATCCTCTTTTAATTTAGATTTAAACATATGGTATCTAGATGATGGTACCATTTGCGGACCTTCTAAAAATATTCTTGCAGCGATAGATTATATAGAGAAAAATTCTCTAAACATAGGCCTTACTCTAAATAAAGCTAAATCGGAAATATGCTTTTTAAATTCAAATACTCTCAAAGTCCAAGGGTTTAAAATCATCAAAAAAAGTGAAATTAATCTTCTAGGTTCACCTTTAAGCAGTTTTTCCAACTGTGAGGTGTTCGTGGAAAAATTTTTCGAAGGCTTATCAGGACTCGAAACTATTTTAAACGAAATTCCTTCACACCAGAGCTTTTTTCTTT